ATGTAATTTTGTTGAGAGTTACTAGGAGCTGTAGCGAGTTTCATTACACTAACCTACAAAGAAGTTTCAGTACCTTATCTATGCTGAAATTAGAATTCACGAATAACTTAAAATACACACAAACTGATGACATTCTGGAGCACCTACCTCGAGTGAAAGTCCACCGGGACAATAGAGTGATGATGTAATCTAGTATGTTTTCAGTATTGTTAGTATAAAACAGTAATGTACTCTAAAAGTTGGCTTTTATTATCTTTCTCGTCCATTTTACTGTAATTAACATACGTATTTTTTATTGTAATAGAATAGGACACGAGACAACGGAGTTCAAGATACATCGATTATAGATTTCGAGAGTGTAGCCCATCAGCCCCGTACGGAACCCTAAAAATAATCCTTAATTGGATATTTTCATTGCGGAACTTTACTAGTTTTGCTAAATAACAAATAAAAATGTTAGTTCGGACTGAGACGCCCCGTGCTCATCGTGGCATCACTTAACTAATACTGCATATAATATATCAGTTTTATATCGAAGCTGCAAGAGCGCTGTGATGTGACTTGATTTCATAGTAAAATCGCAAAACTCTATTCCTCTACTCCTCTGACGTCTATGTATAACACTACACATAAGTTTATAGTAAACAAATAATAAAACACTTTAACAGACAGGCGCCATTATGACGATGACGATTTGAATTAGTAATTTGGATGAGAATTTGGCCCACTATTTTTACTGAAAAGGTAGCCTGTTTGCGTAAAAAGAATTTGTAATTATAGTCTACTAGCAAACCAGTGAACCAAATGTTCACCAAAACCTGATTTCTCGAAAACCGGAAGTGCTACGTTACTCAAATCCGGTTTGTAGTCTTATCAGACTATTCTTAACTTATAACTTAAATATTCTCTTTATCTATCTCTTACGGTTTGGCCGCTGAAACAGCACCACAGACAGACGGACTTGTCTAATAGATAAGAGATTGGACGAAACAAAAGACGAAAAGAACGGCGAAACAAAAAGACGAAATTGAATTTATCAGAATTGAACGCATATGTAATAGGTATGTAAAATCCTTTGACGTAGATACGGTTTATATTGACAGAACTTCCCTTACATTATATTATGTTGAGTGCTGCAACTCGAGTATTATTTATACTCCCAGTTATTATTTATGTTATGTTGATAGATGGAACATTGTCATCTATAAACATTTCCACGCTGGTCGACGTCGAATTAAGTACATTGATCAACAAGTTATCCCATTTGCTCCCCCGACCTACTCTTGACATCTATTCGTCCGCGGGAGCTACCACTTTATAAGTACTTTTGAATAATAATAATAATAATACGAAACAAAAAGACGATGACACTAAAATTTATCAGAATTGAACAGATACGTAATACTCGTATGTAGTACCATTTGTAATAACTACATTCCCTTGTTCGTAGATACGGTTTATATTGACGGCACTTTAATTACATTATACTGTGTTGAGTGCTGAAAGTAATATCCGTAATGCGAGTATTACTTACACTCCCAATTCTAATTTATGTTATATTGGTGGATGAAACATGTCATCTATAAACATTTTCACGCTCGTTGAATTGAGTACACGAATCAACTGTAACTATATTCTATTATACTTATTGTAGTACACCACACAAGGTACAAAAGAAACACAGCAAGACAGGCAGAACGTACAAATATAGGAGGCCTTATTGCTGGGCAGCAATCTCATCCAGGCAACCGATGATAGAAAAATAAATAAACAGAAAGGACTTAAAGAAGGGGTGGTAACATTAACAGTAAATACTAACAATAATAAGGAAACAAATATATCTAGGAATGAACAAGAGTGAAAGGAAAAGTTAAACTTCAATTTAGGATAGGAAATAACACCGAACTTGATATCTAAAAGAGTTCAGTGAGCGAGCTTTTCGAATGTTTTCCGGTAATGAGTTCCATAGACGTACAGAACGCAAAGAGAAGGAATAGGAAAAGAAATCAGTTGAATGATTCGAAATTTCAAAGGTTGGAGGAGGAGCGCAGTATGCGCTGAGAAGTAGATGAGAGAAACGAGAAGCATTCTTTCAAATAAAGTGGAGGAGTATGTACAAAGGACATTGGGCAAAATGTATGGAAGCTGCACCCACGTTCGGTGGCGAACCTTAAGGCTTAAACAATATTTTTTTGAAAGGTATTATAGTCATGATCATCTGTGCTAAAGCGCATCAAATTTCATCCCGGGGGTCTTTAGTTATTTTAAGTTAAATAGGTTAACAAGTACTATAACGAACGAACATTAATGAAACAAGGGAATTAATTTAGTTAGTTAGTTCGACCCTACTACCTACTCCCTAACTGAGCCCCCTATGGCTCAGGTATTATACTACTAGGAGTACTTCACAAGGTGCAAGGGTGCCCCCTTATATTATTCTGCCGCGCTAGTGCTTGGGGTTTTTGAAACATACTGTTCGTTATAGTAAATTGTCTTCTGTGTAAAACCGAGCGTCCACAAATCACACAATCTTGACCACGTTTCGGAGAAAACATGATTCCAGTTCATCCATACCAATTGACAAAACCGATAATCGTGTTCCAATGTCCAAAGCGTGTTAGATAAAAAACAATCAAGCACAATCACAACGAAGTAAGATGAGTCGACTATTTGCGACTGCAAGTCCTTCAACCCCCGTTAACCGTTTTGAGGTGTCTCAGTAAGTGCAAGCGCAAGATGGTCGGCAGGCTTTGTTGTATATCCGGTTGTATAGGACGACATGGCATATTATTATGATTACTAATAATATAAAAATTAAATGAAGGTTCTATAAAATGAATTTATTTAGCTACTTAAATATGCCCAAGTGTCATAACTTTTCACTACCAGGATAATTTTACGGTGTCATATCTTTTGACTTCCAGGATATTTTTTATGGTGTCATAATAAAAAAGGCTAGTTTTTCATAGATCTATGGATTCATACTTATTACATTGTTGGCGGAGCTGGGTGTGTTTTGCCCATTGTCCTTTATTAATGGAATAAAGAAGCGGAAGAGTGTGTTAGTCCCTGGGCCGGTGAATAGGGAGCCAGTTAAGTTTGGAACAGAAATATGAGACATAACATCAATTCAGCAGACGTTCCAGTTTATTTAGGAGTTCCTTGGAAAGGATGGTGTAACAGGTATAAACATAGTCAAAGATATGTAGAGAGTAGAAGTGTCTGCGACAGAGTGATTTTGGCACTGGTGGGCAAAAAGTTGCGTAAGTGATTAAGCTAGCTGTGTACAGTATTTCGTTTTTTGCGACCACCTCCACCTGAGGCCCAAAAAAATACTAATCAAACACCACGCCAAGGTTTTGAGTTGCCGATTTTCAATGCCAATAAGTGTTGAAGTCAGTGTTGCCAGGTCCGATTTTTAAAAATCGGGAGGTGTTACAGGTAAAAACAGTAGATGTATGGGAACAGCTACAAGAAAAACAGTAGATGCAGGGGTGTACTTTTTTGAAATGGTAAATCAAATCAAGAAATCAAGATAAAGATCAGTAACGAATGTGTTTCTGTGGCTTCTGCCGCCCCTCAAAGCTATTTTTTCTTTAGACAATTACATTTATTTTATAATTATTAAGGTTATCTACATTATTAATGACGAAAAATGCAACTCAACATGCAATTTAAAAAAGAAAATCGTTTTCTAAAAAAACAGGAGATTCATGTAGAAAAACAGTAGAACAGGAGAAATTTCAGAAAAACAGGAGATCTCCTGTAAAATCTGGAGACCTAGCAACACTGGTTGAAGTGTGTAAGTACATGTAGAATAATCGTAGTACAATTATAGGAGTATATGAAGATTTTTTCTAATTAAAAAAGCGGCCATGTGCGAGTCGGACTCGCCCATGAAGGGTTCCGTAGCAGCAAGTAACATAATATAAGAGTTCTTGTTAGGATTAGAAAATAATGGTTCACGGTTTATGCATAAGGTTTATGTTTATGAAATTAAATGTTTTTTTTTATTCTTATAATAATTGAATTGATTGAATAAAAGGTAAATTGCGGTTTACGATTTATGACGTATTAAAAAAGCTACTTACTAGATCTCGGTCAAACTAATTTTCGGTAGAAGTTTGCATAGTAATGTACATTATATATTTTATTTTAGTTTTATCATTCTCTTATTTAAGAAATTACATGGGAGGGGGCACATTTTACCTTTTTTGAAGTGTCTCTTGCGCAAACTATTCAGTTTCGAAAAAAAATATATTAAAAACCTAAATATCATTTCTTATCACCGCACACGTATGGGTTTGATTAAAAAAATATTTTTGAGTTTCAGTTCTAAGTATGGGTTATAACTCTCAATTTTTTTTTTCTATTTTTGTGTGAAAATCTTAACGCGGTTCACAGGATACATCTACTTACCAAGTTTAAACGGTATTGTTATTAAAGTTTCGGAAAAAAGTGGTGAAAAAAGTGGAAAACGGTCGGACAGACAGACAGACAGGCATGACGAATCAATAAGGGTTCCGTATTTTGCCGTTTGGCTGCGGCTGCACCCTAAAAATGACTACTTAAGATAAAAAATATGAACATTCACCTCTCCCTTCAAAACCTAATATTTAATTACACACATTAAAAGTGTCTAAATGATAAAGTGCCAGTGCACGTACCCTCAGAACACAAATCCAAGTGAGCGTTAACGGGGGCAAATTTCCCAAAATTAAAAAACTGGAAATTTTCTTAATTTTAAAAAAATATAGAGGGAGGTTGTTAATTTATGTATGTAAATGTCCAAACCGTAAAATTGCATTTGCGAAATATTCATTGGGTAAGCAATTTTTTGTTGTAAAACTTTAATCGATACCCACACAGTTTGGACGATTTTATATATAGCTAATAATGTACTAATTTTAATTCGTTTTCAAAACTGAATTAACTTTCTTTTCTTTAACTGAACTATTTTCATTTAGAGATATTCTAATACAATAAATAATCAAGATGACCTGGAACACGTCGTCGGACTGCTCCCGGTTGGCCTCCCACTCGGGCGAGTCCACGAACTGGTACGGCTGGATGAAGTGCAAGTGCGTCTCATCGCAGCTCACGCGCATCCTAGACAAACAGAGAAATGCCATAATATAGTGCGACAAGGATCTTTATGAATGTTGCAAAACTAACGCCGCTGTCTTTGTCAACCTAAATTTTGTACTAGCGGTCGCCCGCGACTTCGTACGCGTGGAGTTGTAGCAACATAATTTTATAATATCAAGTAACGTTATTAATCAAAGCGCCATCTACCAGCATACCTAAGAATCATCGAATAATGTAATCTGTTTCAAAGAAACACAGAATTCATTCTGAATGAATAATTTGATAGTTGAGTTTGAAAGTTTCGACAGATGGAGTTAGTATGTAACAGTGTGAAATAAAATTACACGTGTAGGATGCGTGATAGCACTAATGTTCTGGAAGGAGTTTCTTTGATGGGCGGAGCCGGCCTAACCGGTCCTGTCATTTCCTCGCACCAAATATGGGGATTTGAGAGAAATTTGCTAGGACGCCGTGCACACGTGATATGCCCCTATAAATAGCTTTGCGCAGACGGTTTCAAGTCTCTTTTGTCTACTATCCGTACTAAGGAACATATAATAAAATTGCACAGTAACTGGAAGCTGTAGTCCGTGCATTATTATTTAATATATTTTCCCCGGAATAACGGGTAAGTCCAATATCTTACTAGATAGGTCGTAGGTCAAATATAGGTTTTTTAGTGAATTATAGGAAATATGTGTAATTGTTTCTAGGTCCATTGAGGTGGCTAATTAAAACAACAGTATACGATAATAGTAATTAATCAATCCTGCTTGGAGTTTCTTTGGATATACATACATAAAGAAGTACGCTATCTATATATATATATATATGAGCCTGTGAATGCAATCTTGATCAAACAAAGAACACTGGTGATGACAGCAGATTCTATTACCATCCACGTGGATGCCTGATTCGCTTGATGGTACCAATATCTTGAAAGCTAAGTAAACTCTCAACCTATTTATTCATTAATCAGTGCATTCTCCGAAGTACGAAGTTTCAGATTTTTAGAACATAATAAAAGATTTGTTGTTGTAAACTGTAGATTCATTAACGTAAGCAGCTTCATATCTTCCAAACGAGTTGTTTCTTGAGAATCTTTATATAGATATATTTGTATGTACGATACTTGCTAAAACAAAATGTTTTCTTAGAATATTAACATTAATATAACTGTATGTACACCTGTTTTGACTGTATGTTCGTCACTACTTAAAATTTGTAAAAGCTATCCTTCAAAGATATTAATTAATCATGTTAAGTGAGTTAATATATGTTGAAATATAAAACTGAATATTAACAAAAATATATCTTGTTCACTGCGGTTGTTGATTTTTCATTTTTTCTCCCTCAAATAACAGTATTACGGCGCCCTGATTAGATATTAGTTAATTTCGAGTTTCATGCAAAAGCCCTGAAATAGCTGGTGATAACAAAAATTGTTACAGAGTTAGTTAGAAATAAAGGTTCACTGCTCGTTCCCCGTAATTGATAGCGTGATAATATGTAGCCTACATGTTGACCCGACTTCTTAATTATATTCCTGCCAATTTTGTAGTAAATCCATGTAGTACTTTTTGAGTTTATCCCGGACATACATACAGACAAACAGACAAAAATTCTAAAAACTATATTTATGGCTTCGGTATCGATTGTATGTAGATCACACCCCAAGTATTCTTTTAAAAAAAAATTCAATGTATAGCTTTGACTTTCCTACCATTTTATTATATGTATAGATGCTATTTACGTAAACAGTGGCGCCTTCCCTAAACTGTCACTCACATTCTGAGAAAGAAACCTGCTACCCATTGTCATGGAAAGGGGTAATGAAATAGTACTTAGTCTTCTTAATTATAGGAAAGGTAACTTTAAAATTTTACTAAAAATGTAACCTATACTATTTTACAAAGATTAATTTTAAAAACTTTGTTTACCAGTAGTGAATAGGTATGAAACAGTGTGCTGCCTGTGGCAATTCTGTTTCATATTCATATTACTGGAGACAATAATATTTTTGAGTATTTATCGATAACATTTTGTTTATTGCACATTATTTTGTGTTAAACTGTAAAATTGTGAGATGAGAGTAATGACAAACGTGGAATAACAAATCGCAAAACCTTAGTAGCTAATTTTCCTTCTGCTACATGAGTAAAGTACTCATGTGCTAGAGTTCACTTCATCTGAGAGAAAAATAATATTTGTAATGATAAAGAATGACTGCATTTTCACACACATTTATTATCCCGGAATTGTTGGTAAGCATGTTACTGAAAGATATTAAGATCGAGATACTCACACGTTTTTATGATAAATGTCCCCAAATGAGAAAATTATTAGGCGCATTTTGGTCGATCCCGAATCGATCTCGCTTAGAATCTCTATAGAATGAAAGAACAGTGAAAGTTCCGATTCACGATTTTCCAAAACAATATTTTATTTAATAAAGGTGAAGGTGTCAATTTGTATTGTGCCACATTTTACAAACGGCGCCGTCCGTTTAAAAACTCGCGCTGTTTTAAAATATGCCGAAGGCAAAATGTAAATTGACTTGTTACTTTAATATCGTGTTTACGTACTCGTCATGCCCACTTCCCTCCTTACTCGCGCTGCATGTCATACCTCGTTTATACCTCGTTTACATGCAGCGCGAGTAAGGAGGGAAGTGGGCAGGGAAGTGGGCATGACGAGTATGTAAACACGACACTCGTCATGCCACTGCCATTGCCACTCGCGCTGCCCGGCGCTCCCTAAAAGAGCGGTTTTTTGTGCGGAAGTCAAAGCACCGGCAGCGCGAGTGGCAATGCGTGTTCACATTCTGCGCGTCGCTTAGTTCGTGCCATGCGCTTGGTGGAGAAAGACGTGAAATCAAAAATTATTAATTAATTAAATCATTACTATGGATCCTTGTTATCCGAAAATAAATGATTATTATTATCATCATCATCAGCCTCTTTATGTCTCCACTGCTGGGGCACAGGCCTTCCCTATGGATGGAATAGGGAGATTGTGCCATGACCCACCACACGGGCCCAGTGCGGATTGGGGGATTCTAACGATTGCAGATGCAACCGGTACCAACGGCTTAACGTGCCTTCCGAAGCACGGAGGAACTCGAGATAGAAATTTTTGGTCACCCATCAAATGACCGACCACTGCGAAAGTTGCTTAACTACAACGATCGCAGCCGAACGCGCTAACCACCTGCGCCATCGAGCTCCTCATTAATTAATTAAATATTTATTAATAATTAATATTTATTAATTTATTTATATTAAAGTTATTAATTATTTAAATTTCGAACATAATTATGGATTGCAAAAAGACACAGCTCGGCCGCTGTTATTACTTCGACGTCTGCCATTGCCGAAACTCTGAAGCGAAGTGAGAGGTAGGGCAGTATGTAAACACATACTTCTCTCAATCATGCCGCAGCAATATTGAGGGAATTATTGCCGGCAACGCGAGGGGCAGCGGCATGGGCATAGTCTAAACGAGGTATAAAATATGCCACAATATTGGATAGGCAATCCAATCAGCATTTACAAAATTCCGCGGCTAATTGAAGTATTTAGTTCTTTTTCTTACCACGTGGCGCATTAATCAAAACAAGAAAGATGGCGTCGAGTAGTTGTTTTATGATACAGAAAAATATTAAAAGTAGTGCGATTTATACGTGTTGAAAGGACTTTTCACAAAAAAATGTGTGTGGACTATCTTGTTATGAAAATAAAGACCGCTTTGAGAGTTCCACGGCCCGTGTTATACCATTATTACGAACATTTTGATATATTGTAAGATATTCATAGGGAGTGTGGATATGGTGGTCGAGACAAAATTCAGTGCCTATCACATTAAAGATCACCACGAAACATCGATTTATAATTGCTTTTTTTACTTTACTAGTTTAATTATTTTGGAGTGCCCAACTTAGCATGTAATTTAAGTTAATACTATTTGAATAGGTGACTACCTGATTTCTGCAATAAAGTCTATGTTCTTTTACTGTTTTAATGTCATTTACGATTATCACCATGTTTTTAACAAAATTGCGAATAGCTAGTTCTATTCAAGTTTGTTTATACGGTTCTCCAGAATATCCCGATTTTCTCACTTTGCACTATCACGGTCTTATTCCTTTACATAGCAGTAGGTTTTATCAGATTCTACTGGCTCTCGCTATCGCAAAGTATTTTCCTCTTTAAATTGCTTTCTACCATTAAAAGGTAGGAAGTTACTTATAAAATTACTTATACTTCAACATTCAGTAATTAGTTTTGTTAATAAACATCACTTATTATTATTTTTGTTACTGATAAAATTTTAAAAGTTGACCAATATAATATGAGATACAGATACTGCTATAATAGGTATCTATTAAATTGCCTATAACGTGTTATCAAATGGTTATCAAACCCGTTATGACTAAGCCCGTTAATGTTTCGTACTAATTGCGTTCATACGAATTATTTCATTTCAAGACTTATTTGTTAAAGCCTAAAACTTGAAGGAGGTTAAATAGGGGGGATAAAATTTGTATAAGCAAGGTAACTCCTTCAACGAACAAAAAAAAACACACGTAATGCAACTTTTTTGGAACATATTATCTTATTTTTTTACCCAACGTCATGAATAGGTAACATGAAAATTATTACTAGAAAAAAAATCCACGCGATCAAGGCAGCAGACGGGATTAGAACTCGCACCTTCCGTTATTCGGGCGGATAGCGGAAGCTTTATCTTAGTAGTAAAAAAAACTAAAAATTTACAAATCTAGCAGTTGAATAAGTGAAGAAAAGGAACTTTTGCAAATTAACGACAAACCCCCTTTCGAATCTATCTTATTTTTTTTAAGCTTAAGAATTAAAAACTCACTTTCCCTTCAAGAGTATCGATAGTCGTTCGTCCGCCGGTGTGACTTCCTCGATCGCGTACGCCTCGCCCGGCTCGAAGCGCACCACTCGAGCCTCCCGCGTGAGCTCTTGGAAGTGCTTCTTGTGCACTTTGAGCGGCTTGAACAACTTCAAGTAAAGATCAGTCAGCTCCAGCGACAGCGCCGGTGGGAGGAACCTGTAATTCGATACTGTTTAGAACCTACTTTAGGTTCAGTTATGACCTGAGAGCTCTCCTCTGGTATATGATTGTGAAATTTCAATACTTGATGATTGTGAAAGATCAATATTATTTCCGTAAGCCATTCGGTAGGAGGGACTATCCTTACAGGTAATAGATATTATCACCAAGCTTCGCAGCTTAAGATTTATATTGCCTAGTTAGTATTCGTCTGCTTGCCGAAATTTCACCCAGTTCCTCTGGCATTGAGTTCTATGAACATTAGAATTTCTGTTTAATATAGAGAAAGTAAGTTATAGCATGATCTCACCTTATGATTAGAAACACTGTGTGTATCGAGTTGACGAGCACGAGCGCTAGACTCCACACGAGCACATCTGGGGCGCACACCTCGGCGCCCGCCCACATACCCATCAGCACCGCGCCCGCCGCCGCCAGGGCGCGAAGCACCAGAATGCTCTGTTTGAAACTCTTCGGCGCGAGAAACGCGATAGCGAAACATAAATTCGCAGCCTGCATTGAACGATAAGCATTAATTTACAAGTTTACGCTTTAGGAAAATCTTTTTCCTGTTCAAATAGTTTTTTTACCTGTATCCAGTTAGAATAAGTTGATTCTATCTTTTTTAGATGCTAATGTAAAGTTATAATAATAAGTGGAAAGATGACGTAAGTGATTCATCGTCGTGTTGAAGCGTTTCACAGAACTACCAATATTTCCTTGCTGTAGCTGATAACCCATTCACGAACCAAGTTTATTTTTATGCGATCATAACTATATATATTAGAACTTCGAAAATGAAAATGTGCATAGGTACTCGGTAACGTTATTCTTTTAGGTTAATGTTTCATCACATAAGATCATAGTAGAGCTAAGGTATGTAGTGATAGTAGTAAGAAGGTACTTGGAAAAGATCTTGCTGTGCGTTGGTCCACTTAGCGCAGAACCAATGGTTGTTGTGCTCGTCCGTGGAGCTGGCGTTGAGCAGCTCGTAGTCCGTGTCGAAGGTGAGGTTGAACCGCGTGGCGTTGAACGCGAGCGTGGCGTTGAGCCAGGGCGCAGCGGACGCCGGCGCGGGCGCAGGCGGCATGGTACGCTCGCGCCCCGCCGCCCGCGCGCCTCCGCCCCCGCCGCTTTCGCCTGTTCAGTACAAGCAAACGCGACCCCCGGGTTATTTTTTGTTTATAGACAAATTATTGCATCTGTTGTTAGAGTAGCTAGTTAAGCAAAGGTGCAAAGCGGGCATCATAGACGCTTACCCCACCCCAATAGAGCTCAATGCGCAAGGGGTCAAAAGTAACGATATTTATATGAAATATCTAAATATGCTTCATTTATAATTTATATTGTTTGCTGAACTTAGGAGAAAGTGGAATGGTGCGCTCACGCCTCCACCCTGCCACCTTCGCATGTCCCCATGGACGTACTAAATAAACATTAAATGCATAGAAATGGAGCTGCATAGTCCCCTTCTCTTGGGGCGATGGCATCGAAAGAAGCCTTAGAGGCCTTTACTACTATCTGTTGTATATCTGTGCGTATGCGTTTTAGTTAGTAAGTCGCGTATCATAGAAATAGAAAGCTAGCCAGCTGTCAGATAAATTAAGTCGCTTCATCGCTTCTAGTCTAAGATTGACGAGTGATTTCAAGTGAGTCAATGTGATTTTTGCCCGTTAGTCGCACGATATCGCTTTTTCTATTAAAAAAAATTAGGTAACCAATTTCATGTAGGTATTGCTCGGTCAATTCTCTTCTCAGTGTAAGAACTGACGGAGCGGTTTTTCCCGCACCAGCTGCGGGCTACAAGTCTGCAGTTTCCTGCGGGTCCGACAGCCGTTGCGGGTGTCGCAAACACCCGAAAATTACGCCCTGAGTTCTTAGTCTCAGTGTCTATGGGAGATATTAATAGGCAGATGACAATGATTAGTATGATAAACTGACCTGTCCCCTCGCGCGGTCCGCCCCTCACACGCTTCTCCGAGGACAGAAGACGATTAAGTTGGGCCCGAGCTCTCAGTATTACCAACTCCATCACCGCGCGCTGCGACCCGCTCCTCGGATGAGCTGCACGTTCCTATTACCTGTGACAGTTGTATATATATAAATTATTTAATGAAAACTTGCGACCCATACGGAATTCGCATGGGTATTATACTGTAACACTAGAGATGCCCTGCCCTTTTCACCAGCATTAATTTGAGGAAATAGGTTATAGTGGATGCGGTTGCGGATTTTTTTTATAGAACTTTTAAAGGGGAACTATTCCGTCGTACATTTTTTGTGTAACTTTACCGTTTACGCAGCCCACGCAACGGAAGCTCACAAATGGAATATTTATTCCCATTTTTGCAGCATTTTTCATAAGTGATTCGCTCTCATTAGTTGTAGCTTATGTTTTGCAGTCTATAGCCCTACCTACTTATAGAATATATAAACCTAACCCTTAATCACTCTTTCTATGGCTGAAAACTGCAATAACATCCACTGCGCAAAAGTCTAATCTTACACAAAACTGAGTGACTTTCTTTTATACTATGTAAAGATTTATTTCTTAGGGTTAGTTGCACCAACTTACTTTAACTGTTATAATTTTTATTATTTTAAAGCACGTAACTGCTTGATGTTTTAAATCCAAAGAAAATATAACTAGAAAAAAATCCACGCGGACCAGGCAGCAGACGGGACTCGAACCCGCACCCTTCGCAATCCGGGCGAATGCACTGACCAATTATGCTACCGCGGCCCTCACGGACCGCGTCGAAATTCTTTCTAGCTATTCTTAAGCTGCAAGGCAGCGCCATCTCTTCGCATTATAGGTAAACCCACAATGTCAAATGAATACTTTTACAAGTATTAAACATTTGAAAGAAGAAATAGCAATTATAGTTATAATTTTTATTATTTTAAAGCACGTAACTGCTTGATGTTTTAAATCCAAAGAAAATATAACTAGAAAAAAATCCACGCGGACCAGGCAGCAGACGGGACTCGAACCCGCACCCTTCGCAATCCGGGCGAATGCACTGACCAATTATGCTACCGCGGCCCTCACGGACCGCGTCGAAATTCTTTCTAGCTATTCTTAAGCTGCAAGGCAGCGCCATCTCTTCGCATTATAGGTAAACCCACAATGTCAAATGAATACTTTTACAAGTATTAAACATTTGAAAGAAGAAATAGCAATTATAGTTATAATTTTTATTATTTTAAAGCACGTAACTGCTTGATGTTTTAAATCCAAAGAAAATATAACTAGAACAAAAATTTTTTTCTATAATTGCTATTTCTTCTTTCAAATGTTTAATACTTGTAAAAGTATTCATTTGACATTGTGGGTTTACCTATAATGCGAAGAGATGGCGCTGCCTTGCAGCTTAAGAATAGCTAGAAAGAATTTCGACGCGGTCCGTGAGGGCCGCGGTAGCATAATTGGTCAGTGCATTCGCCCGGATTGCGAAGGGTGCGGGTTCGAGTCCCGTCTGCTGCCTGGTCCGCGTGGATTTTTTTCTAGTTATATTTTCTTTTTTCTAGTTATATTTTCTTTGGATTTACTTTAACTGTTCAGTACCAGTTAGGTAAAAATGGGTTATACCATCTGACAATAGTCAAAATGAGGTCATACTTAATATGACAGTTACAATACTAACTGTCCAAGCGAGGCCAATTAAAGTTATAGTGAAATTTTTCTTTAACTATAACTAGATCTGTGTTGCAACTCACACTTAAGTTTGTTTTCACGCATACTAATAATTTCATCTTGTGACCATGGACCCTGTACAGGGTCCAAAACTTCAAGAATAATGTTGTATTAAAAACCTACTTCTTTTCGTTCAAAAAGTGTGATTTGTTATCATAAACTGCTAGATATATAAATCCATATATTATATATATAAGATGTTAAGGCTGGAGGGCCTTAACCAAGTGGAATTACTTGTAGCAATATTCTCTTTAGATATATGATATTGTTACGTGTCGGGATGGGATTCGAAATTATATGCCAGTTCACGCTTGACAGTTCTTTATTCACCACACAGTTCACACAATTAACACACAATGTTAATTACAAAACACTCACTAAACACTGTATTTCACTATACAAGTCTCTAAACAATCTCATTTGAACACTTTTGTTGCACTTAGATCGCCTTTGGATTCGCTCCGAAATCGCTGTTGAAACTCAACTGTCTCTGCGCGGCGCCAATCGCGCTTATATACGCCGATCGACGCATTCTAGAAAGTACCTGTTAAATTGAGAATTACCTAGCACACGCGAGTACGAAATACCTACTTATAGCTACGCAGGTAACACGCATAACTTGTAAACAAGTGCAGATGTCGTTGCACTTTCTCCCTTACGCCGCACTGCATAAGGCTCATTTCAGAATGAGCCACATTACTCGACCTCTATCGCGAACCCCGGTGATCTGGCAAATTCAATCTCTGGCACTTTCGCGGTTACGTTTCGAGAGCGTTTGTGACACTGCCCCCCTCTTAGACATGCTCGTCCCGAGCATCATTGCTGCCGTGGTAAGGTGCCAGGCGATCGATGTGGATTATCTTGGGCTTCTTCCGATCTCACTGTCTTATCCGATAGGTCACATCGTTGATTTTCGTAATCACTTTATAGGGTCCTTCCCAGCGTGGCTGAAGCTTTGGGGACTTTCCAATCCTTTTTTGTGGGTTGTGCAACCAAACGAGCTCTCCCTCCACGAAGCCACGAGCGTTGGCATTCCGATCATACCTGCTTTTCATTTTCTCGCCAGATTTCATGTTGTTTTCACGCACGAGGTCGTGCGTTTCGTCCAACCTTCTTTACAGCTCTGCGACGTACTCTACTACTGATTTGGAGGCAGCAGGAGGTGTTCCGGTAAGTAGGTCCACGGGTAAGCGCATCTCTCTACCGAAGATGATTTTCGATGGAGTGAATCCAGTGGTGTCATGCGCTGCGGACCGGTACGCCATTAGAAAGAGCGGAATGTAACCTTCGCCAAATGATTTTCCAAAGTCTAGTTGAATCTCTCTACCATGCCGTCGGATTGTGGGTGTGCCGGAGTCGTACGCGTCTTATTTATTCCGAGTAAATTGCACATCTCCTGGAATAAGTTTGACTCAAAATTCCTTCCTTGATCGCTGTGTAATTCCAACGGAACGCCGAATCGGCACACTACTTCTTCAACAAGCCCCTTGGCAACGGTCTGAGCCTCCTGGTTTGGTGTAGCAAATACTTCGGGCCATTTGGTGAAATAATCTTGAACCACCACAATGTAACGGTTTCCATCTTCTGTTTGTGGAAAAGGCCCAGCGACGTCAATGGCAACTCTTTCCCAAGGAGCGCCGACCTGGTAAAGCTGCATCTTCCCCTTGGATCTAGTACGAGGCCCTTTGACCGAGGCGCAAACATTACATTTCCTACACCAGTGCTCGACATCTTCTCGACAGCGCATCCAGTAGAAGCGTTCCCTCACTTTTACCAATGTCTTCCTTATTCCCAGGTGTCCACCAGACGTACCATCGTGCACATGCCTTAAAACCTGAGACACTTTGCACCTAGGTACCACCGTTTGAAGAGTCTGATCCTTACCATTTGGTGACTCCCATTTCCGATACAGCACGTCTTCTTTGACTAACTTGGAAGACTGTCCCATTGGGCCCAGTATGCCTTCGTGATTGGGCTTGAAGCGGATATGTCACTCCATGATGGTTTCCGTCCTTCACTTTTCCCCTTCATTATCAGCTGCAGGTCCTTGTCTTCCTTCTGCGCCCGAGATATTTCAGCTTTACTCCAGGATTCATCCAATTCTTGAGCCCTTATAACCTTCACTTCGTCTTTGTACTCGCATTTTAAACAGAGCTTACAATCTGCAGCACAAGCCCGCCTTGATAATGCATCAGCATTGGCGTGCGTCTTTCCGCTCCGGTGTTCTATTGCAAAGTTGAATTCTTGCAGCTGTTCGATCCATCTCGCCACTTGACCCTCAGGGTTCTTGAACTGGAGTAACCATTTAAGTGCTGCATGGTCTGTACGCAGAGTGAACTCTCTTCCCAGCAAGTACTTATTAAAGTGTTGTAGGGTCTTTACAACTGCTAGAAGTTCGCGTCGAGTTACACAATAATTTCTCTCTTGCTTTGAAAGAGATTTGCTGAAGTAAGCGATACCAGCTTGTTGTCCATTTTGTTCTTGTGACAGTATTCAGCAGCTAAAAAATATGTCCATAACGAGTGGTAGGGAAAAAAAATTATGAACGATTCAAAAGAGTTGTACTATACATCCAATTTGAATAAAGATATATTGATTTCTGATTCCGCCGATTCCAGTATTACTAGCATCAGTATCCACAATGAATCTTCCCTCTCTTCGTGGATAGCTTACAATTGGTGCAGAACAAAGTAAATCCTTTAACTTCGTGAAAGAACGCCGGCAATCTGTGTCCCACACGAAGTTTCTTTTCTCTTCCGTGAGACGATGTAATGGCCTGGCTATCTCAGAGAAGTTCTTCACAAATCTGCGGTAGTACGCATAAAGGCCTAGAAAAGCTCTCACTTCAGTCTTATTTCTCGGTGTTGGCCATTCCTGCACAGCTTTTACCTTTTCAGGATCAGTTTGGACACCCTTGTCAGATATTATGTGCCCCAAGAAGGCTACCTCTTTCTTGAAGAACGCGCACTTTTCTGGATTGAGCTTCAGGTTTGACTCGCGGAATCTTCTGAATACTTTCTCTAGATTCCTTCAGTGTTCCGGGAAGCTGCGTCCCATAACGATCACATCGTCCAGGTACGCCAGACAGGCATCCCCCAATAACCCCACCAGCAAACGTTTCATGAGTCGTTCAAAAGTGGCTGATGCGTTGCACAATCCGAAGGGCATGACCCGAAACTGCCACAGCCCTTTTCCAGTACCAGTAGTGAATGCAGTTTTCTCTTTATCCTCTGGGCGAAGTTCCACCTGCCAGTAGCCACTCTTCAGGTCAACGGTGGAGAACCACTTCATGCCTTCCAACATGTCCAATGTGTCGTCAATACGAGGCAATGGACAGCTGTCCTTCTTGGTCACATTGTTGAGCATCCTGAAGTCCACGCAGAA